CCCTGGGTCATACTGACCCTGAGTGTGGTGTTAACTGACCCTGGGTCATACTGACCCTGAGTGTGATGTTAACTGGCCCTGGGTCATACTGACTCTGAGTGTGGTGTTAACTGGCCCTGGGTCATACTGACCCTGACAGTGGTGTTAACTGCCCCTGGGTCAGAGGGCAGCTCAATTAACCTCCGAGGGACTAACTTCATACACTAGCAATTTGAGAACATAAATGTCCCTAAAATGCCCTCATAACTCTAAAAATTGCAACACCATGCTCCCATCTCTTACCTCTTCAGATGGCTGTGTTGCTTCCCTTGAGGTACAACCCCTCCCTCCAAATAAATAAGGGAGGGGATAAAAAGCTGAAAAGTCTGTTCCCATCTAGAAAACACTCAGAAATACTAACCACTATGTATGCAACAAATTCATTTTTAAGCATATCTCGGCAATGTTAGAAGGCCTGAATTTAAATTTCTCATTTAAGACCTTTAAATAGGGTAAGAGATAAGAGAAGAAATGAAGAAAGCAAAGTTCTAAATCTATCACTCTGGCCTGATAGTTAGTCAACTTTTCAATAAACGAATGTATAATAACAGCAACCATGTATTAATATCTACTGCATGCCTGACAACAGGCTAAGATTTTAATCTCTTATATCTCACAATACTCCTGTGGCATAGACACTGTTACCCCGATTTTACAGATAAGGGCAGGAAATGGAGACACGAGGAGGTGGCCCAGAGCCTCACTTCTGCTAAGGGGGTTCTGGAATTTAGCAGCAGCTGCGTCAGATCCCAAAGCACATGTTTGAAAACCAGCGGAGGCAGAAGGAACAGCACTATTAAGTAAAGCCCAGAGGATCCCCAGACTTGCTGCTTGTCGCTCTCCTCCTCTTGCTCTGTACTTACCAGCCTTCAGCCAGCGGGTTAAAGTTGAGACCCGGCGAGAGCCCTGGTGAGCTGTGAGCTGATCAAAGTGATGTCAAGGAGGGAGCCCGGCAAGGCAGGCAAAGCCCCAAATGGTCCGTGAATGGAGGAGCAGCTGCTCAGCCTCTGTTTGCCGTTTCGTACCCAGAGGATTAAATATTTCATACCAGGATTTCTTTGACCTCAGTATTGGCATTTTGGACCAGATCATGCTTTGTTGTAGGGGCTGTGCTGTTCACTGTAGAATGAACATCCCTAGCCTCCATCCACGAGCTGCCAGTAGCAGCCTCCCCCTGCCGCCTCAGTTGTGATACCAAAAATGCCTCTAGACCTTGCCAAGTGTCCCCTGGAAAGCAAAAGCATCGCTGGTTGAGAACCAAGGATTTATACCAGAAATAAGGAAGCCCTGCCCTGGCTGCTCGGAAACCCATATGTTAAAAAGAAAAAGCAACCCCAGGATATTGCCTGTTTTAAAGCCCTCACCTCCACTGCCACCCCAAACAAGCCCCACTGTGTCTGTCCACCTTCATTCTCCTTCCTGTCCCCTAGCGCCAGCATAGGTGGTCTCTTCTGTGTCCTACGATCCCCTAGCTTATCTGTCACCACGGACCTTTGGCAGGTGCAGATCCTCCCAACCCTGCTGCCTGTTGGAATCTTATCTCTCCTTCAGGGGTTAGCCCCTCCTCCTCGGGAAGCCTGTCTCCCCAGTCTGCAGTGTCCTGCACCCCACCACTGGTCCTGCCCTCCTTTGTGATGCTGCCTGCGTGCTGGGCATTCTGGAGAGCAGAGGTCCAGTCACAGACTCCCCGGGTGCTCCCCACATGCCCTGCACACTGCTAGGAGGACAGGCCATGCCAGTGGCAGGAACTCTGCAAACTGAGCCCTTAACCACTCTCAGGTGTTAAGCCCTGTTGACTTCCTTCCTACCTGTGCCTTATGGTCCAAGGTTGGCCCTGGTGGAGCCCAGGCACATATGTGTCAACCTTAATTAAGTCGTTTCTCCCTCCTGCAGGCTCCCTGGCCATGAAGGTCTGCAGGAAGGACTCCTTAGCCATCAAACTCAGCAACAGGCCCTCCAAGCGAGAGCTAGAAGAAAAGAACATCCTTCCCAGGCAGACGGATGAAGAGCGGCTGGAGCTGAGGCAACAGATCGGCACCAAGCTCACCAGGTAGGATGGCAGCACCCTCTGTCCTCCCGACAGCGGGCCACCGGCTCTCCAGACTGTAGTAGAATTCAGTCTCCACCCGCAATTCAGTCCGTGGTGTCTTTTGAGTAACTTACTGCAGAAAGAGCCAATGGAAAACATCTCATTTTGTCTCGAGGGTTGCTTCTGCAGTTCCCTCTCCTTCACTCATCCAAATCTTAGAAATTGCACTTGATTCAAACTTCAAAGAGAAACTGATAGGTTTCCAGGGAAAATAACCATCTATAGAAAATCTCTATCACTCGATAGAATTGAAAACCTATGTATAGATGAGCTGTGGTTTGGTTAAGCCCAAAGTGATCAGATAAACACACTCTCTGCCATCCTGTTAAGTGGTTGGTAGTGATGCCTCATTACCACACTGGGATTCTTCCTGAGTGATTGCCCTTTATGTATGGATACTACTGACATAGGCGTAGCTTTATGCTATATTAATATGTTAAACACCTGTGTATGTGTTTGTAATCTAGGGCATGTTTGTATGGTATTTGGTAACATTTGTTGAGCGCATATTATTGGCCAGCATTGTTTAAACATTTTACATGTATTAACTCATTTAATCTTGGAGCCTTTCTATGAGATAGACGTTTGTATGCCCATTTTACAAGTGAGAACGCCAGGCATAGAGAACTTTAGTTACCTCGCATAATATCTCGCAGCACAACTCCAGAGTGCTCCCACCTGGGCCCTAACTTTATACCAGGCACTGCGCCGAGTGTTTGGATGTAACACGTAGAAGGCTACTGGGGCCTCATCCTGCCTCTCCCTCTTACTGGCTGTATAGCCTTCAGTAAGGCACTCATTCTCCTTGCCTGTGTTTCTGCATTTGTAAAACAGTGAGTTGTGAAAATTAAACAAGTTAATATAAATATTTAAAACAGTGTCTGGCCCATAGCAAGCACTCAGTTATCTGTTGTCGTCATCACCCTCACATTGTACAAGTAAGAAAGGTGGTACCTAAAGAGGTTACGTAGGCATAGGTGTCATCCCCTGGTGTGCTGGTGTCTTGCCTCCCACCTGATTAATTTTGTTTCTTAAGGGCAGCTTCTTTGTCATACGTAACTTGGTCTTCAACTGGAGGATGATATGGTGATGGTTCAAGGCTGGGTAAAATAGTCGACACT